TGTGGAGTAATCTTAAACTCAAAAGAAATTATAAAATGTCACATAAAAATCTATTAAGAGTTTTTAAAGCAATTTATTCAATTGAGATTATTATTGCAATGTTAAAAACAAATATTTAATGCCACTTATAGATTGTTCTTTACGTTATTTCAAAATAAATACTTATAAAATTAATACGCTAATGTAACAAAATTCTAAAATTACATTATATTAATTTATTTCGAGCCAACAAAGAACAAATACTAATGCCTCATGTGAAAAGATATGTATTCCATTTGTAAATACACAGAACGTTTGCTGGAATCTAATTTGTTTTTAGTCTTTATTAGATAGTACATAAATAAATTTGACTTTGTTTTGCTTACTGCTTCTTAATTTCGTACATATTTAGCCTAAGGGAACAAACACACTTTCATGCTAAAAATAAACATGTTCATACATCATGAGTGCTCGAGAAACTAACATTATCCTTATTCAGTATTTTATAAAAACGTTTGTTTAATTTTAAATTCTGAGTTTTCCAGAGAAACATTATTAAAATTAAATTGCACTTTGTTTATACTTTTCTTTTCTCACAAACAAACTTTGTTACAGATACCTGAAACGAGAATCAACATGGAATTACTAAAATTATTGTTATTTGGTAATCTATTATTCATTGCTGTAAAGGCTATTACCGACAAAGTCTTGGATGAAGACAAATGTATAGATAGGGAGTCAATTGAATTAATACAATATGATATCGAATTAATAACATACATCAACGAGAAAGACTATAAGAACATAGAAACAGATATAGATATTTATAAACAATTTAAACCATATTTCGACAAGCAACGAGCAAACGGCGATTTCATCTTCCAAGGTCAATCAACTATGTTTTTTCGACCTAAAAGTGACGACGTAAACATAATATGTCTGAATTATAAAAACCTGATAATAGCTACATTGGCCACAGAAATTACTTATTCTTCTAGTAATGGTACAAGTACGACCATTAAACCGAGGTCGCATGAACTTAGTGGACACAAACAAACTGTCGCCCTTTATTTTGATGACGTTGTCCCGTCTAACTTTTATAATTATCGCCTAATCATGAAATTTGTCGGTATGATAACTGATAATACAGGAAGCTTTTACAAGACACCCTACATAAACGATCAAGGAGAAAAAAAGTAAGTAGTAAAAATCCAATAGATATATGCATTTGTTAGATAAAAATTATAAGAAAATGCGAATTATTCCACTTATATTAAATGTACGCATACTTTAGATAATGCGGATAATAATCTAAATATTATATGTGCCAATATTACTTTTATATAATATTTTCTATGGATATATTAAGAACCATATAAAATAATAATACAGCGTAATGAAAAAAAAAACGCTAGATGATACTCTCGATTTGTCTCTTACTAGCCACATTTAAACATTCTCTAACCCAACACTTATATGCCAGCAATGATTGAGAAAATATATTGTTAAAATGTTATAGATGGTTTATCGCAGCAGCCGATTTCCATGGGGCTGGGGCCCGAGAAATATTTCCATGCTGGGACCAGCCAGATATCAGGACAAAGTTTAACATTTCCATAAAGAATAATCAAAAATACATAGCTTTATCGAATTCACCGAGTGAAGACTACGTGGAGACTACAGATGACAGCGGGATGGTTTGGACACGCTTTAAGACAACGTATAATATATCCGCTTATCACGTAGCGGTTGTACTGTCCGATCTTTATCCCATTTCTGAGAATGTATGGGGCAGGAAAAGCGTGGAATCGCACATAAAATTCGCACGGAAAATTGCTGAAAATACTACCTTGTATTTGAAAAACAAGTTTCACAAAGCACAATTTCCACCGAAAGTAGATCATGTTGTAATCCCGTGTTCCCGAGACGAAGGCCTGGAAAGTTGGGGACTCGTTCTTTATAGGTATTGCTAACAATACATATAATTCGAAAGAAATTTTAATTTTTATTAGAAAGAAAATTTGCTTGTGATAAGTTTTTAAAAATTTTTCAATTTGTAAAATACTCATTTTTGTATTTTTGATTGATCTTATTAAATAGCAACAGAAAAACGTTGTGTGATATATCATCATGCATTTACTGGTTTAATGAGCAATACAAGTTTACAGTATATTATTCACATTATATTCATCAAAATTATCGATATTATCGTTTTTACATTATATACGATTAAACTCGACACTTAAAAAAATATTTTTGATCGGATTATTTTATTATTTTTTAGTGAAGCAGCTATTATCTACGATGAAAAGTTAGATTCCATTGCATGGAAAATTGAAGTAGCTCGCATGGTAGCGCGTAAAATGGTACATCAATTATATGGCAACCTAATCAGCCAATCCTGGTGGTCTTATATGTGGTTAAACAAGGGTATTGCTTCGCTTCTGACAACGGAGATCATCAAAGAGGTTGTTTCCGTTAAAAACTTTCTGTGTCACTAAGCATGTAAAAGAAAAGCTAGTTGATAATACGTAAACAATTTTTTTGCTTTTATCAATTATTTTACATCTTAAAACAATGAAATATTGATTGTTGGAATTTTATTATATTTTCATGGACTGAAATGTAAAGATATATTGAATTTGAAAATAAACATATCTATTTTAAATTTGAAATGATTTAGCTAGAATTCAAGAATTTGTTTTAAAATTTTCAAGTAATAACTAGTTTTTATTAAATTGCATGTCGTTTTAAGACAGGTCATTATAATTTTAAATTATACAATAGCTATTATGAAAATAGTAAAGTGTTCTCTTATTAAATAATTTTTTAATAATATCAAAATTTTTGTCTTTAGTATATAAATTATCGGTACCCGGATTTATTCGCGGTACAACTTCAATATGAGTGTCTCCGTTTGAATGATTATTATGACATGCCTCTTGTATCAAAAGTCGTTACACGCGCAGACATAAATTCTCTTTTCTCTTTTACTTATTACGTTAAAGGTAAGAATAAGTAAACATAATTAAATAATTGCGCGCAAAAAATTTTTATATATAAATGTAATAGAAGATAATAATAATTGAAAGTAAATTCGTCTGCCATCTAATTATCTATTAATTTGAGGAGACACACATTTTTTAGTAAAAAAAATACAAAATACATAATTAAAACTTAAAACTCATCTTTTTCTACAAAATTATTGTGTCTTTAATATTTTATTAGAATTTTATTTAAATTATTTTAAATATGCTTAATTATATTTTATAACTTTATAATATTAACTGTTACAGCACCTGCATTTGTACGTGTATTGGAACAAATGGTATCTCCAGATACATTTCAAACAGGTCTCAAAAAGTATTTAAACAAATAGTAAGTAAAATAACTATAATATAATAATTATACTGAATACATAATCAGACATAATAATTTAAGTATCCATTATAATTAAAGGTTACATAAATTAATTACATAATACATATAATAAGTTAATTTATATTTTTTAATACAATCTCTCTGTTATAGCCTTTAATGTTACAAATTTATCTTAATGAATTTAGCCAGCTTAGATCCATCGATATTTCGACTAACACAGCTGACAAATTCTTCGATCTTCTACTACGTTACGACGACGTAGCATATGGTCATTTAAAAAAGACATTGACTGAATGGTCGAAACAAAAGCGCTATCCCATACTGGAAGTGACGCAAGAATCTTCAGGAGATCTGGCCAAAATAAAATTATCGCAAGAATATGTTAATGAAACATATGGGCAAAACTTGTGGATACATGTGACTTATGATACACAGAGCCGTGGTGAAGACAGCAAATGGCTGAGTCCGGACAATCCACATTTTCACCTAACTGATATTTTTAAAAACGACTGGATTGTTGTCAACGCACGACAAACTGGTGAATATAAATTAATAAATTTGTTATGCTTCTATATCTATTACACATGTAAGATTTAATTTTGCATAGTTAATCAAATAGTTATGAAAGTTATTCATTGTGTACAACAGGATACTATCGTGTTAATTACGACAAGGATAATTGGGAAAAACTTATGAAACATCTAAATTCAGAGGAATTTGAGTTAAGTCATGAGTTTATTCATGTACTGAATCGTGCTCAGATCATCAGTGACGCATATTATTTTCTATTAAGAAACAAACTTGACTTTCCTTTCTTTAAAAATCTCACATACTATTTATCAAGAGAGGTAGATTATATAGCGTGGTATCCAATGTTTAAAATTATGGAAGAGATGTCAGGCTTTTTCCCATTTCCAGAAAGTACGGAAATCAAGGTAGATAATGATAAAGATTTCGTCAATGAGAAATATTAATTATCTGATTGTTACGTATGAAATATTCGACTTATTTTTAAAAGAACTAAAAAATTTCACGTAAATAAAGTACATAACTAAAAAATCTTAATTACGTCTTTTTGTAACAGTTATTTTATATTAATTATTTTATTTGAAACAGGTATAAAATATTTAAAAACGGAATATGATTATATTTCCGGTACAGATAATAATTTTAGTATTTTAAACATTAAAAATTATTTTATAATCGTGCATATATTTTATGCCATATTATTATAAACATTAATTCATTAGTATATTATAGAACTTCTCAACCTGAATGTATATGATGTCATATTTGATCTTAAAATGAAAAAGTAATCTTTTACAGTTACATCTCAATATTTCTCTTTAACAGATATAGATCGCAATTTAAAAGTTTGTAACAATTTCCTAAAAATAGAAATAATTTTTTATTTAAAAAATAATTTATCTCAACAAAGTATATGTAATAACTAAATTTTTGAAAACTGATACTTTATTATATGAAAAACATGAAAGAATTAAAAGAAACGTATTTTAACTATTAAAATATGAAAAAATATAAATAGTAATACTTGAAATATATAATAAGATTTATCTAAACGTGCCTGTCTGCTTATACATAATCCGTCTTATTACAATAACAAAAAAATTAATATAAAAACTTTGTTATTAATTTGTTTTTAGGAACACCTTCAGAAGATCTCGGAATCTGTTCTGAGAAAGATAATACATACAGACAAAAATGTAGCTTATGAATTTACTGAATGTTTAAGACAAGAAGCCGCAAAATGGGCATGCAACCTCGATTCTTCGGAGTGTACTCATAGTGCCCATCTGAAATTAACATCACTTCACAAAAAGCGGTACCAATAATACTTTTCATAATTACGGTTTATCTAATCATGCTCGAGAAAAAATTATCAAAGTATAAAACGATAAAACGTAAAACGTAACTAATGACAAATTTTTATTCTTTTACTAAATATTCCAGACTTTCGCCGATTTGGAAGGAATGGACATACTGTAAAGGACTGATGTCAGCGAGCAATAGTTCATGGAATGAAGTGTTTCATTCAGGAGTATTAGATAATAACCTTTTACGATTTTTAGCGTGCACTAAAAATCATACCGTCATCATCGGTTATCTCGATTTATTAAAATCGGAACGTTTTACTAAAGCACAATATCGTATCACAGTTTTCCATTCCATTATTGCACGACATGCGAGAAATGAATTAGTGCTCACTTATATTCTAAACAATTTTGCAAATGTTGTACCTAAGTAAGATTATTCTTTACACAAACACATATTGTTTAAAATTGTAAAAGTTTGTTATATGTATTAATTGCAATTATATTTGGAATTTTGTTTTTACAGGGAGATTAAGAAGATTGTAGCGTTAACAGATATTATTAATAATCTGTATAATATAGATCACCTTGAGTTTAAGGTAAAGTTTAAGGAATATAAATATATATAACACATTTCTTGATTGTGCTGAAAAGATACTATTGCAGACAAATGTAGAATTAGATTCCAATTCCTCTAGATTCCTTTAGATTCCTTTTCCACAAAAGTATTTTTGTTCTTCTTCCTTCTTGAATTATTACTCTATCTCTCTTCTCTCTTTCCTTAGTCCCTCTTAATACATTTCCTATTTTCTTATTTGATGTTTTTCTCTGCGTGTTTTTTTCTTCCTTTCTCTTCATACTTCGATATGATTCCTCTTCATTTCTGTTCCACGTTTTTCTATTTTGTTCTTTCTTATTCTCTTTTTGATCGCTATATTATTTCTTCTTCTTCGATTCGAGAAAGAAATAATTTCAGAAATACTTATGAAATTTCTTCTTCGATCATTTATTTTTCTCATTATTTTGTTGCGTCTTTTCTATACTGTGAACAAATTCTTCTTGGTTCGTTTTCCACAATTTTCTTCGATCTCCCTTCTTTCGACCGTTTTTCCATAGTCTAAATAAATATTACAATATCGATGAATATTGTCTCTCATATTCAACAAGAGTAATGCAGTAATAATGACTGTTGACATAATCTGTTTCAGGTTTATAACTACGTACGACGGAAATTCTCTGATGAAATGGGTTCACGTCTTAACACAAAGATATATAAACGATTGGCACAAATCACTGAACACGTTGACTATTTCAAAAGCTTTTTAATGACGAAGTTAATTTATGCCTAAGAATATTATGTACTTATCTATATGTAATTTCATGTATTCTATTATTATATAAATATATTTTTATGTTTTATTTTAATCTTATTTTCAATTATGGATTTCATATTAGTAATTTTTCTGCACTATCGGTCTTTAATAATATCTCCATGATCGCACAATATATAGCTATTAAAGCTTGCTAATCGGAAGCATATTTTTTCGGAAAAATTATCTTGAGTATAATAACTGTAATATACTTTATTCAAAAGCGTCATTATTTTACTTAGCTTATTAATTAGAACATCCACGGCCTTTATAGCCATGTTTGTTTTGTTACATACGACCTTACAGTTTGTTTTCAAAACCTGTATTTAATACCAGCTATATTGATATCGTCGTCAGTATTCGGTGAACTCTCAACGTGTAAAGTTGTGGACTGCAAGAATATATTTCTACTCCTGACAGTGGTAATTGTTCAACGGTAAATTAATTGCTACTAAAAAAATTATATCTCAATCACAATTCTAATATACAAAGTAAATGACACAAAACATCTGAGGCTCTGTTCGAAGATGAATGTGTAATAAAACATATTTATAATAATTGAAAGTGCTAATACAGTGCTGTATCTTTATTTCGTAGTTCTAGAAAAATGAATTTATAAATGTACTTTTCAATAAAATACACTTTTTCTAAATAACATAAAAAGAAGCCTGAATCTGAAAAATACAAATATAAAAATATAAATCGTAATAAAAATGAGCAATACAAGTTGACAGAAGCTCGCATTATGTTCTCGCATTTTGTAATTTAGCTAAAAATAAAAATTATAATTAAAGTGTTCTATTATAATTACATTGGAATTCACAGACGTCTATATATATAATTTGTATTGGATTTTTTATTCTTATTTAGATTTTATTCAAGTTTATTCATTTGTCAATCGTAACCGGCACAAATTCCAAATATGTGTCATATCAATGTGGAGTAATCTTAAACTCAAAAGAAATTATAAAATGTCACATAAA